GGAAGTTACAGTGGCAAAGTGACAGAAGAATCAAGGGTTCAGTACTTAATTGGTTTGTCAAGTATCTTGGCCTCCTCATTAAATGAACTTGGCCATTAATTTTACTGCAACTTCTGAAACCTGTAAACAGCTAAGTAAAAGCCTTTGAATGTAGAAAGAGTGTACAGCTGTCCTCAGCAAGCTGTTCTTATTTTGCTACTGCAGACACTCAGTCAAACCTATAATTTAAGGTGATCTGCAAAAAATGTAAGTCACCTAATTTATGCCTTTTTTGCTTCTTTATACTGTACATATATTTTCTTCTCTCCCCTCAAAAGGCAGATGTAGTGCTTGTTTTACCTTTAGAAATCACAAGGTTTCACTTTCTGCTTTTGATGAAGGTGTCTCCTTAAAGAGCCAAACAAAGAACTGGAAAAAGAGTTCTCCGCCCTAAGCAGAAAAGGCAGATCTTCAGATATCTTCCTTCTCAACTGTTTGTCAGACATTTCAGTTAAATGTGAGTTTAATTACAATTTTAGATAAACTGACTAAAAACCCTTTCCTCTCGGTTGACTCAGGAATTGCTTCCTTCACACAGTACCACAACCCTACTGGCTCTCCAGATAAAAATGGATAGCAAAGACCCAAAATTTGCAATTAAACACTTCTAAACAGCTAAAAAAGGGTTAACACTCCCCCCCCCCCTCCTTCTTCACCCAGCAAATTTAAGATTGCACATTTTTTTTTAGGAACATAGCAATTTTCATACTGGATCTGACTTTACTCCTGGGGGAATTCTGCACCACTGCGCAAGGCAGAATTTTGCAGAAATTAATGTGTGTGTAGAATTTCTTTTTTTCCCCACAGAAACGGGCTGCAGAGATGTTGGCTGCCATCAGGGGCCGCTGGACCCGGCAGAGCCCAGCTTACAAATAGAAGACAAGGCTGGGGGAAGGTGGAGTGGACTGGAGGGTTCCCAGCAGCTGCAGTTCCCAGCATGCCCTGAAGAAAGGAGGTGGTGGCACACAGGAAACTCTGTGCAAGCCCAGGACCCAGTATCAGGCTGTTTCTCCTCTGGATCCCTGGGTAGGAGATGAGTGTGTCTGGGCTGGGGAAGGCCCCACAGCTGGGCTCTGAGGGGTGTGAAGGCTCCAGGATGGGGCCAGGGATGAGGGGCTTGGGGTGCAGGAGGGTGCTCCGGGTTAGACCAATGTGTTCAGAGGGCAGGAGGGGGATCAGGGCTGTGGCAGGGGACTGGGGTGCAGGGCGGGCTCAGGGGTGCAGGCTCCAGGTGGTGCCTACAGCAAGCAGCTCCCGGAACCATGTCCCCCTTCTGGCTCCATGGCGCAGCCAGGCGGATCTGCGCGCTGTTCCATCCGCAGGCACTGCCCCTGCAGCTCCCACTGGTCGGGAACCATGGCAAATAGGAGCTGCAGGGGCAGCATCTGAAGATGGGGCAGCGTGCAGAGCCGCCTGGCCACGCCTCCACGTACTACATAGGAGCCGGAGGGGGATCATGCTGACTGCTTCCTGGAAGCTACATGGAGCGAGGCAAGCCCCCAACCCCGCTCCCCGGTGGGAGGTGAGGGCCAGATTAAATGGTCTGATGGGCCGGATGTGGCCCAAGGGCCATAGTTTGCCCACCCGTCATAAGGGTTTCTTTAACAATACCGACAAAAAATTCCCCCAGGAGTAGAGAGTTGCAGACATACTTGCTGACAGGTATTTTGAAATAAATTACCAAAATAATTGGAACTGGTGTGATTATATAGTGTTATTTTGACAAATAAAATTTGCAGAATTTTGCAGTTTTAAAATATTTTGTGCAGAATCTTTAATTTTTTGGTGCAGAATTCCCCCAGGAGTATGACTTGTAGTCTGGTATCTTATCTCCAAGAGAAGCCAGTTCAGGTATTTCAGAGGAAGATGCAAGAACCCTTGGAATGGCTACTTATGGAAAAGCATCTTGCAAAGGGAGTTCCTGCCTTAACCCAACTACTGACAAACTGGGGTATGCACAAAAGGTGAGAACTCACACACTAGGCTATCCCAAACTTCCACATTTGGGAGTGAAATTTGTCATGTGTCATCTCTACCCAAAACAGGATTTTAATACTTAGAGAAAACTCCCTTGAGCTCCTAAGTTATGGGACTGTTAAGACTTTTTCCCATCGTAAAAAAATATTCTAGACACAATCTGCCCTTCCCTCAAACAGGCACAAAAGTGGCTGAGATACAGCCTTGTTTACTTGGGGTAGGGAGCAGGACTTTGATCAGAAAGTACAGCCTCAGCTCTTTGATGTCTTGCTTAGTCTACTGGGGAAGAATGTTTGTTAAAAGTGGCAACGTATTTTGTATGAATAGTTACTTTAAAAAGTTCCTGCCATTACATCTATGTTGATAGACTCTTAGTGTAGATCGGGGCAGGAAAACTTTTTTGCCTGAGGGGGGCCACATCGGGTTTCCAAAATTGTATGGAGAGCTGTGCCTCCCCAAACAGTCAGGTGTGGCCCAGCCCCCTCCCGCTTCTCGCCCTCCCGCCCCCAACCGTCCCCCGCCGCCCCATCCAACCCCTCCTCTCATTCCTGACTGCCCCCCCGGGACCTCTGCCCCATCCAGCCACCCCTTCTCCCTGACTGCACCTGGAAACCCTGCCCCTGACTGCCCCATCCAACCCTTCCTCTCATTCCTGACTGTCCCCCCCGGGACCTCTGCCCCATCCAACCACCCCTTCTCCCTGCCTGCCCCCCACTGCCCCATCCTGACTGCCCCTCCGGGACCCCTGATCCCATGTTCCCCGCCCTCTGACTGCCCCACTCCCTATCCACACCTCCGCCCCCAACCACCACCCCTAACTACCCTGCTCCCTTACCGCGTTGCCTGGAGCACAGGGGGCTGGCAGCACTACAGCTGCGCCGCCCAGAGCACCAGGACAGGCAGCCACACCACCACGCAGCACAGAGCACCAGGTCAGGCTGCAGCTCTGCAGCTGCGCTGCCCCAGGAGCTCGCAGCCCCACCGCCCAGAGTGTTGCACCAGCGCTGCAGTGAGCTGAGGCTGTGGGGGAGGGGGAACAGCAGGGGAGGGGCCGGGGGCTAGCCTCCCAGGCCAGGATCTCAGGGGCCAGGCAGGAGAGTCCCAGGGGGTTAATGTGGCTGGTAGTTTGCCCACCTCTGGTGTAGATCATCATCAGTGTTACTGACCACATAAGGAATAGTTATAGGTGTTTATATTTTATTAAAACCCCTCTTCGCATTACAGTTTTTAAAAAGTTAATACACTGACTTCTAATAGTATACTATATTACTCTTCATTTTTTTCATTTTTGACTATACTTTTGTATCATTGTATGAAAAGGTTTCAGTGATGCGGCCCTCAGGCCAATGTACTAGTCCTCCTGTGGCCCTCATGGTGATTTGAGTTTGAGATCCCTGTCCTAGAACAATCTGGGACAAGCTAGTCCTTTCCTGACTGACTAGCTTGGTGCAAATCTGACTAGCTGTGATGACTAGCTTGGTGCAAATCAGAAGAGTGGTAGAGACCAAAGGGCCGCTAGAGGAATGGCAGAGAACCAAAAGCTTCCCACTTCTGAGTGTTTAGGGTGGGAAGGGGAGAAGCTAGTCCTCTATTTTTGCAGAACCTATGCTTTTCCTTTGTTTGAAAGAGTGACATTTCTACTGGCTGAGATTGCAAAGACTCAGGTGTAACTAATGCACAGTCTTGTCTTCCTGTATCTGCAGACAAGACAGCATTAGGACTTCTGCAGCTGCTGCTCAGAATTTTGCTAAGCAGCCGCAGAATAAAGTTATCAAGTTTCTGGGTAAGTCTCCCTGTGGCTGCTCAGAACTGTAGGCAGCAGTGAAATTATTCACAGGGGAAGAGAGCCCAAAACCACAGCAGCTTAGGATAGAATGTGTCTGTGTTCACAAGAGTCAGCCTAAGAAACCCACAGCTGACAAATGAGGCTATCAAGAAACTGGTGTAATGATTGCCTGTCTCAGCAAGCACCAATAGACAGCCATACCAGAACATGTCCCCTAGGACATTTCAGCTTCAGCTTGATTAATATGCTCACACTTTTTCACACAGCACACACCACCATACTCTTCATCATGATTAAAAATGCCCCAGCGAGAATAAACTCAGATGCACTTCCTAAACACAGACCTCAGCAGCCAGGAGTCTGGATGGCTGCTTTAGTCACCCCACCTGCTGCAAATCAGAGTCTGGGAGTTTCTCCACACGACCTACTAAAACTCTGGAGAACATCAAGTACTGCTCTTGTACATCCTGCAATGCAACGTGAACATTCATCCATTTACCTCACATCACCCAGCCTCTCCTGAAAACATGCACCAGGCCCTGTAAGGAAGAGCTGCTTTACCTACTGTTTGGGTCTGTTCTACGTGGGCTCTTAGGACATGTCTACACTGAGATTAGACACCCGCGGCTGGCCCGTGCCAGCTGACTCCGGCTCGTGGACCTCAAGCTAAGCAGCTGTTTTATTGCTGTGTCCATGCTCGGAGGCTCCCCGCTCGCAGGGTCCTTGGGCCCGGGGTCCAGCCCCAGCCAGCCGCGGGGGTCTCAGCGCAGCGTTACGTGCCCTCAGCACTAACGGGTGAGGCAGCAGCACGTTATAGCGCCCGCCTGACACCGGCCCGCTCCGCCTCGGGCTCGCTTTCTGAAGCGGAAAGAAACGGTCCTGCCGCTTTCAACACCAGCCCAGGAGCAGGCTGCTGCCGAGCGGCCCTTCCCCAGCGCAGCAGGCCCCTCGCTCCTCCGGAGCCGTGTCCCAGCAGGCCCAGCCAGGGGCTCGCCAGAGGCCCGCCGGGAACGCTCCGGGCCGCAGCGAGGAGCCCCCGGCCCCGCCCCGGAGTAGCGGCTGCCCGGCCAGGCATGCGGTGGGGGGCTCTGCCGCCTCCCCAGCAGCAGCCCGGGCCCGTGGCGAGCCGCGGGGACAGCACGCTCCCCAGGCCAGGCATGTGGCGTGAGGGGGTCTCTCTGCCTCCCGCCCCCCGTACCTACTCAGCGCCGCCCCTCACGAGCCACCGGACACGTCGCTCCCACGCATGCGCAGCTAACGCCGCTCGCTTCCACCTCCTACCAGCCAACCACCGAACAGAAGGGCTCAGGTACGGTAAGGCAGCGAGAACAAAATACTTGTCGTCACGGATCCGCGTAGTACCAGGAGCCCCCCTACCGAATCCGACGCGGGGGCGGGGCTCAGTGCTGGGGGAGGGGCTGGGCCGTGTCACACTGTGGGATAAGGGGCAGCGCTGGGGGGTGGGGGCAGCTGGGGGGCAGCGCTCAATGCTGGGGTTGGGGGGCGGGGCTCAATACTGGGGGCCGGGCAGTGCCACAATACGGGGCGGGCTCAGTGCAGGGCTGGGCCGTGTCACACTGTGGGACAAGGGTCAGTGCTGGGGGATGGGGCTTGGCAGTGTCACACGCACTAGGGGCAATGTTCAATGCGAGTGGGCAAGCTGGGCAGTGCTGCATAGGGAGAAGGTGCAAGGCTGGGGACACCACACCGTGAGGGCGATGCACTGTGCTGGGTGGGCGGGGCTGGGATGAGGATTAGTGCTGGGGGCAGAGGCATCACATTGGGAGTGTTGCTCAGTGTTAAGGATTGGGACTGGTGAATGTCACAGTGATGAGTAGGGCTCAGTGGTTGGGGGCAAAGCTCAATGCTGGGGTGGCATGGGGCAGTGCTGGGATCAGAGCTGGGTAGCGTCACACCAGGTAGCACTCATTGCTGGGGTCAGGGCTGGGCAGCTGGGGGGGGGGGGGGGGAGGGGGAGCCGGGGGGGGGGGGTGTTACACAGCAATGTCATACTGTTGGACTATGCACTGAACTGTATAGGTGGGGCTGGGCAATCTCCCTGAGATGAGGATCAATGCTGGGGGCAGAGGTGTCACAATGGGGGTGATGCTCAGGGTTGGGGCTAGCAAGGGTAACTCGGTAGGGGCAATACTCAGTGGGTCAGTGGCGCTGAGGTTTAGTGCTGGGGGCAGGGCTGGGTAATGTCACTGTGTCATTCTTCTGTAACATTGTTTAAAAGTGGGGTGACACCTGAAAAGCCAATGCTCTCCCACATCTTTGGTCCCCATTGTTAATTTGTGGAACAGAAGGGCTGCTCCTTTTACAACAGCGAGTTACCTCAGCTACAGCCACCAGCTAAAGTGGGGTGGTGGGAGTGATCCTCCAGCCCCATCCCCTCTGGCAGAGAGCTGGCTACAAAGTAAAACTTCTACAGCAGGGGAATCTCTAAGCGGCTTTGTGAGGGTAGCTGTGAAGTGTTTTGTGCCACCCAGGCAGCACAAACTAGGCCAAGAAAAAGCTGAAAATGACTACAACAGTAATGTCTACATTTCCTTACAAACAGGATAAAAATGTAAAATACACTTAGTTTCCAAGTGCCAATAGCATGATCTCCCACCTATGGCACAAGCAAGCATTTAAAAACCAGGCAGTGATGACTCTCTCCTCCAAAATATACTGGATTCTGGCTTGAAGAATTGACCATCTAGAATTTAGACCTGAAGTTACAAATAGGAGTGGGGGGGGGGGGGGGGAGAGTAAACAAAAATAAAGGAGAGGAAGGAAGGTGTGTCGTAGGTGAGGGTAGGTGTGGAATGAAAGGGACAGGCCAATGCACCCTAAAGAACAACAGAAGGTATCTCAATTATGACCATTTTCACTGTCTGCCCTCTCTGACAGAAGTATAGAGCCTGCAGAACTCTGCACTGTTCTCACGAACATTGCAGATACAGGACTCCTGATTCTCCTATAGTTACAGACCTCCACTAAGTACTCTACAATAACTGGGGATACGACAATTACTTCTAGGACAGTTTGCTGAAAGACAGTGAAAAACAATTCAAGGCTGTTGGTGGCATTCACGGAGCAGTTGCATACACCAGAGTGCCTCTTCTGGGCCTAAGAAATGAGACGTGACTGGTAGGATCACATTCTAGTGCAGGTTTGGGACAATGAGCAGTGGCTACAGAACTTTCGGATGTGAAAAGCCACATTCCTGGATGCATGTTAAGCTCACCCCAGCCCTCCAGTAAATGGACACCAGAATGAGAACTCTATTGACAGTAGAGAAATGAGTAGCAATCGCACTCTAGAAGCTTGCAACCCCAGACTGCTACTGATCAGTGGAAATCATTTTAGAGTTGGAAAAATCCACAGGGGGAGGAGGGGCTACCATCATGCAAGTGTGTAGGGCCAGTTATCTGCGACCCAGGACTGTGACTGTTGGCAATATGCAGAACATAGTGAATAGATTTCCAGTAATGGACTACCCAAACTGAAGTGGGGCCATACACAGCATGCATATTCCTCTTTTGGCAACAGGCCACCTTGCCACAAAGCACATCACCAGAAAGGGCTACTTTTCTATGCTTATTCAAGCACTGGTGGCTCACAAGTGACAGTTCACAGATACCAATGTGGGCTAATCAGCAAAAGTGTATGACATTTTCTTCTTTAAAAACACAGAGCTGTTCAAAAAGCTGCAAGCAGGATGATCATCATTTGGATTTGCTGCATTATGGCTTAGGGCATTTCCCTCTTTGGCCTGATGGGACTCCTGAGATTTTTTTCCATTCTAGAAAAACGGGAGGTGAGGGGGGTAAATATCTTTTATTAGACTAACTTCTGTTGCTGAAAGAGAAACTTTTGAGCTTACCTAGAGTTCTTCACATCTGACCTGAAGAAGAGCTCAGTGTAAGCTTAAAAGCTTGTGTCTTTTTCACCAACCAAAGTTGGTCTAAAAAAAGATACTACCTCACCCACCTTGTTTCTCTAGTATCCTGGGACCAACACAGCTACAACAAAAACTGCAAAATGACAATAGAAGTTGTGACGGTACCTCCCATAAGGCTTTATGGAAATATGCTTAGAATGTGTTTTATGCTACATATGCCATGTAACATATCTCTAAGGTTATGATCTACTGAATGTATTAATCCTATTTGTATGCAGTATTATTTTTGTAGTCGAAGTTATGAATGGTGGCTGTGTACTGGCTTGATTTCTAAATAACCTTAGTAGAGCATTTGGTCAGTTCCTGGAGAAAGGAATATTGAAATTAAGTACCTAATCAAGAAATACTTAAAGGACAATGGCTCTTGGAATGCTCCAATCCACATAAGAAGTCTACCTGAGGACATTCAAGGTAGTATGTAAACAATGGATGCTACCTGAAAAAACTGTGAGTCATGCATGGACATGTGACTTGCCCAGGTGACTCCTAAATTCCATCTTGGAGCTGGACTTTGCGTAGGAGTGAGAAGGGGGTCTCCACCTACAAGAGAGTCTATTTAAACCCCTGGGAGACCCCACCATTTTGTCTTCAGCTGGCGAAAGAGAGAGCCTCTCCACCCCCCTAGGACACCTGAAAGAAATTGGAACAGGCTAAAAAGGAGATGAGTCTGTAAAAGGGAGCATTCTGGAATTGGTGAGGATCTTATCTGTATTGTGTTTGATTAGACATAGATTTGCGCATTTTATTTTATTGTGCTTGGTGACTTACTTTGTTCTGTCTGTTACTACTTGGAACCACTTAAATCCTACTTTCTGTATTTAATAAAATCACTTTTTACTTATTAAAAAACTCAGAGTATATATTAATACCTGGGGGAGCAAACAACTGTGCATCTCTCTCCATCAGTGTTATAGAGGGCGAACAATTTATGAGTTTACCCTGTATAGACTTTATACAGGGTAAAACGGATTTATTTGGGTTTAGACCCCATTGGGAGTTGGGCATCTGAGTGTTAAAGACAGGAACACTTCTGTTAGCTGCTTTCAGGTAAGCCTGCAGCTTTGGGGCAAGTAGTTCAGACCCTGGGTCTTTGTTGGACCAGACAGGCGTGTCTGGCTCAGCAGGACAGGGTGCTGGGGCCCCGAACTGGCAAGGAAGGCAGGGGTAGAAGTAGTCTTGGCACAGTGGGTGGCAGCTCCCAGGGGGTTTCTGTGATCCAACCCGTCACAAAAGTTATCAAATTTTTCCATGCTGTTGGTCATATCGGTCCTCCAAGTCCTTTTTGCATGGACCATGTAACGGGGTTGGGACTCACCACCTGGCGCCTCCTACTGGTTGTCTCAGGGAATTAGCTCTGTCCAGTGGAGTGCCCCCTCCTGGTGGTGTCCCGTCCGTCGTCTCTCCCTCAGTAGCAGGGTAGCATGGCCCAATGGCCAGAGTCCATATAACTCCCCTCAGTAGTGGGGTAGCATGGCCCAATGGTCAGAGGCGTAGGGGGACCCAGGCCCTCCCTCTACACCAGGTCCCGACCCAGGGCTCTCCTAATGGCGGGGTTCCCGCCGCCGCACACCGAACGTCAGTGTTGCTGTAACGCAGCTCGTCCCTAAAGTTCCCCAAGGTCACTTCCTACCCTCCATGTCGCGGTCTCCTCCGGAGACGTGGGTTCCGGTCCGTTCCCCTCTGGCGGGTCCTCTGTCTGAGATGCGGGGTTCGGGCCGGCCAGGCTGGCTCCTGGAGCCTGAAACGTGGGCTGTTCCTCCTCGGGAGCTGGCTGTGTGCGTCCTTCTCCTCCGGTGGTCAGCCCCAACTGAGCAGCTTTGCAGGCTTTTATACCTAGCCTCCAGTTGGAACGTGCCCAGCAGGGCTTCCGGGGCGGGGCTTCCTCTGCCAGGAAGGAAGCATTAACCCCTGCTGCGCCAGTGCGGGGCCACTCTGCCCCGTCACAGTCCAGAACAGCATCTCTCAGAACATGTCCTCCCTAGTTTTCTTCTGTCTCTCCATCAGGGTCAGGAGTTCTGCAGGTGTGAAGGGATCATCGCTCAAGGCCACCATGCCAGCAGTTGCTTTATAAAAGCAGTACAAATGTACCACTGAATTTACAGTCACAAGGGAAAGATAAGTTTCAAAGCTGCCTTCCCTTATTCCCATAAATACTTTTAATAAGAAATGCTTATTGACACTTCAGCTTTGGAGTACCTTAGCCCTGCACCTCTCTACATTCCCCACCAGGGACAAGGGGGATAAGGATTTTCTTTTCCAGGAAGCTATAAAATTTTGGTCCCTGTTCTA